CCCTGGGGGGGACCGAGGGCGGAGGGGGGGCGCGCTCTGCGCAGTGATGTTATAATTCCGAACTTGGGATCAGCAGATGGGTGGGACAGGTCCACGACACTGGTGTATATGCTCAGGATTGATGAGAACACCGCGTATGTTGCGAACCTCACCCACGGGCACACACACTGGATGATGAATCGCGAGTCATCTAATCAATTCATCCTTCCCCAGCGGGGGAATCCCCACTCTCCCCTCCCAGCATTGCCAACTTCCCCAGTGGGATTGCTTGCAATTTGGTGATGTGAAAACTATTGCAGCAGGCACTAGGCTCTACTGTATTTTCAGGTATGTGCCTGGAGTGCCGGTGAAGCGACGCAACGATTACCGGGTATGGACCGTGGCCGCGGGTGACGTGCCCGCGGCCGGTACCGCGTATTTGCAGCACGCCCATGGACCCTCCTCCTGGAATCCCTTCGTTCCTTTCCTTTAGCCTACTGGGTTGCGGCGTTATCGGCGTGCGGAGCTCGCACTCCCATCATAGATCCACTCCAGCGCCTAGTCGCGTCGATGCAGCGGCATACATGCTAAAAGGAGATATTATTCCTCAGTTGTGCTTGCTAGTGCGTGAAGTCTTGACAGAACACCAACCTACCGCTGGCAAATGGCAACGGCCAGGACCTGGCCTTTGTAGCTAGTGACACCGCATGGCATTGTGCCTCGAGCCTATGGCCCTTACAGCTGCGTCCGCAGTCGCTGCGAGCCTGCTGCTGCTAGCGGCGCTTGGTGAGCGCGTCGACCGAATCAAATCTCGCGCGCGTTGCGTTTCCTCCGTTTGCATGCGTTGCTGCCCCAAGCGCCGTATACCACGCAAGACGCTCTTTGCTAAGTGGCAACCCGACTCGTTCTGGTGGCGTGACACATGCCAAACTCGTCGCGCACTAATGAGCACCGGTCGGACACCTCATTTTGCACAGCTGTGCAGAACGGCATGATGTCGCTCATTCACATTGCTGTTCGGCCCGCGATGTGCTCACAATGCCCTCTCTGCATTCGCTGTTTGTGGGGCGTCCTCTCGGAATCAACAGCGCCCAGCGCCGCCGCCGTCGCCGCGGCCAGCGTCAACGGCGACGCGCCTCCACAGCAGGCGCCGCCGCGGCTTGCAGTCTGCCCAGGCCTCGCTCGAGGCGTGTGCTCGCTCGCTTGCCAGCGCGCCACATGCGAGGCACTGTCGCGGTTCCTGCAGATCACTTTCAATGCCTCGATGCCGTGGGAGCATGCGGGCACGTGGAACATCACCCGCTTGATGGGTTGCAGCCAGCTGGTCGCGCCCGCCGCCGCTGCCGCCGGCCGGCCGCCGCCATACTGCTCTTGGTACGGCGTCGGCTGCTGCACCGCGAAGCGTGCGGCCGAGGGCGGCTGCGACGCGATCCACGGGGTGGCGCAGCTGGCGCTGCCGTCCGACAGCATCAACGGCAGCTTGTCGGACCCGGCCCTCATGGACGTCTTTGAGCTGCTGCACGCGTGCGGCATGGTTGAGCTTGATTTGGAGGCGAACGACATCAGCGGGGAGCTGGGGCCGCGCTGGGAGCGGTTCACCAACCTGCAGGCGCTCAACCTAGGTCGGGCGCACCTGCGCATGCCCTGGCTCTGCAGAATGCATTACGGAGCTGCGAAGGGGGCTTGCCGCGACCAGGACCCACCTCTGGCCCGTGGCATCTGTGCCGCGGGCCCGCCCCACTGTACTCGTTTGGGGCCCCTGCGCCGTGCATGGCTGCCGACTGGCTACCTCGCCCCGCCCCCCCTGCATGCAGCCAACAACTGGATCGTGGGCACCATCCCCTCGGAGCTGGCAGCCCTCAAGAAGCTGCGGCGTCTGGAGCTGGGCACGAACTTCCTGCAGGGCACCATCGGCGCGTGGGTGGGCGGCCTGCGGCTGCTCGAGGTGCTAAGCCTGGGCGCCAACGGCGGCGTCAACCCGCCAGAGGAGGAGGGCGGCGAGGAGGTGGAGGGGCTGACGGGGCCGGTGCCGGACACGCTGACTCGGCTGACTAAGCTGGTGGAATTGGACCTGCAGGTGAGGATGGTTGACTTGCTGCGGACATCAGCTGACAGGACCAGCGCGCATGTGCATCGCAGTTTTTTTGCGGTGGTTCCGCCAATTGTGATACTGCTCAGGGCCCGCACCGGGGGGCCGCCAAGGCAAGCTTGCCACCTTGAGGTGGTGCTCTCAGCCAGCCCCAAGCTGCATTCGCAAGCCGATGGAGTCTGCGCTGCATCTCGCATACTGGACTCTCACGGTCGAGCATCATATCATGTTGGCCCTAGTCGCGTCCTCGGCAGTGAGGCGCGCTGCCTGCGCACTCACTGCTTGCAACCCGTCCCCCAAGGCACACAAATACACGGGCATTCGCACGTGCTCACACGCGCCGTGCCACAGGCCAACTCTCTGACGGGGACCCTGTCCCCCAAGCTGTGCACGGCCAGCCCCGGGCTGGAGGTGCTCAATGTGAGGGACAACAGCCTGGAGGGCCCGGTGGACCAGGTCGCGGCCTGCACGCGCCTCGTCAGCCTCGACCTGGGGCTGAATTTCTTCACAGGCAGCCTGCCCGCCACGCCGGTGCGCGAGCGGGCAATCAGGGAGGGGCGCGCGGCGTGGCAGCCGCACGGCGTCCAAGAAGGCGGGGTCGGTGTGGTGGACTTGGACGCCGCGGCTGGAAGGGCGCCCCTTCAGCAGCTGCTCTGTGCTTTTTGGGGGGCCAGATCTTCATGTTTGTGGCGAAAGCCTCCATGCCCAGCTCGCACCCTCTCTCGTGCTTGCTTGGCTTATGCATGTGTCGCTTGCTGATTGATCTGCGCGTGTACGTCCTCCCTTGTGGCCAGGAGTGGAAGCACATGGTGGCCCTCAACCTCGGGGACAACGACTTCTCAGGCACCGTGCCCCTCGACATCTACTCCATCCCCTTCCTGTCATTCCTCGACATCAGCAGCAATAGGCAGGTCGCGATGCTCCCCGCGACGGCTGATTATGGCCCGGGCCCCATTCCCTCGGCTTTGACGCCGCGGGGTCAGCCGCGCGTCTTTCGCAAGCATCACTGCCATGCATGGAGTCGCTGCCCGCTGCACGTCACTCAACTTGGTTTGCCGGCTTGCATCGCTGTGCCCCCAGTCTGACAGGAACGACTGATTACCGTGTCAACCTTTTGACGTACCTGACTGATCTGGACATGTCCAACAACAACTTGACAGGGGTCATACGTGAGATCCCACCACTTCACACACACACCCCCCTTACCCCTTCGGGGCACGGCAGCGACACCAGCATCAGTAACAGCAGCGGCAGCGGCATCAGCAACAGCAGCCGGGGCAGCCAAAGCGGCTGCTGCAGCAACCAGTCGCAACCACACCTGGCCCGCGGCCCTGCACCCCCGGCAAACGGCTGTGCCTGCCTCATGCCTGCGGCTTGATAGCCATGTGTCGTTACTTGCCTGGCCACTGCTTGGTGACGCACTTCAGGGAGCTCATCTAGCCTTGTCATCGCCAAAGCGTCGTCCCGCCCAGAGCGCAAGCCCTGCCCCGCCGCGCATGTGCAGGTGAAGACTTCTTCTTCCTGCCGCAGCTAAGATCGCTGAACCTCGCCAACAACAGCCTCACCGGCACGCTGCCGGCATCGATCGGGTGCGCAGGCAGCGTGAATGCTGGCACTTATCTAGTCTACATCCCCCAAACAGCAGCGGGTCGTGATTTCCTGATGCCTTCCCCACCCTGCTGCTCTTCTTCCCTTCAGTATCACTGTGCTGTACCAGTTCCAGCTCTTTTCCCAGCCTCATCCAGCACTTCAGCGCTTTGATCCATGCACGTCAACCTCCCACGTGCTTCCTTTATTCCTAGGCTGGCTTATGGCCTAAAGGAGCTCAACCTGATGGGCAATCCTGGTGTTGTGGGGTGAGCGAAATTTAAGGAATTAGGTGGGGTTTTGTTGGCAACCAGCATCGACTCAAGGGATTAGGCTTGTTTTCAGATGCATCCCGTTTGCACATGCAGTCAGTGTTGTGTGCGTTTGTGCACGAGTGCGTGCTTGAGAGGGAGGGGGAGAGAGAGAAAGAAAGAGAGAGTAAGAGAGAGAGAGAGAGAGAGAGAGAGAGAGAGAGAGAGAGAGAGAGAGAGAGCGAGCGTGTGTTTGCGTGTCCACTGTGCCATACAAGCGCTTGTTCCGGCCATGCCTTTCTGCAACTTTCCACACACCCACACACACATGCGCACACACACACACACACTCTCTCTCTCTCTTTCTCTCTCTCTCTCTCTCTTGCACACGCACACGCACACGCACACGCTACGCAGGCCCCTGCCCGACCAGACCGGCGGCCTGAGGTACCTCAAGAGTGTGCGCCTCAGGGGGACCAACATGTCCTGCGCCCCGCCTGAGGCCGCACTTGCCGAGCCCGCCGACGGCGCCAGCAGCCCCGCCGCTCGCTGCACAGACGGCAGCCTGCTGCCCTGTTTCCTCGAATTTGAGCCGTTCGACGTGCCGCTCTCGGACAGTAGCCACATGCGCTGCCGTCCGGTACGGCGCAAGCCTGCCGCGGCCGTCGGGGGCGACTGCCCGGCCGAGGTCCGGGACCCGCAGGCCTCGGCCCTCGAGGAGTGGGACGGCGTCTTCTGGCCGGCCTACTTTCAGTTTCAGTCCTGCAGCTGCTTGGAGGGGTACCAGCCGATCTGGAGCCGCAACGAGACCGCCCTGACGTGCGTCCTGGCGCGAAAGCAGCCGCTTCCTGCCTGGGCCTGGGCGCTGATCTTCCTCGGCGCCGTCAGCGTGGCGCTGCTCGCGGCGGCGGCGCTGCTGGGCAGCCGTTGGGACGTGCTGCGCAGCAGGTGGATGCGGGATGCGGACTTGAAGCGCAAGCGCGCGCAAGGGACGCCGACGGGCGGCGCGGTCAGCGTGGTGGTGACTGATATCGAGGGCTACTCAGGTGAGCGAGGTGCATCGGGCCTGCATGGCCCCAAGAGGTGTGCATACAAAGAATTGGAGCTTCCGTGAGCGTGAAGTGGCCTGATATGCTGCACTTGAACCACCTTGCAGCTTGGCAGTCTGCCCACTGTCAGCTGCACGGGCCGCCACTCGCAGCCCCCTTTTATCTCATCAATGTGCTTACTGTACAATTGGACTTGCTACTGCCTTGTCGCTCACTCAAGTCCTCCCTTTGTGTAAAGCTGCCACGTATCACACACACACACACACACACACGTCCACACGTCCACACGGATGCAACTGTGTGCTCCCGTCCCCCCACCCACGCACTTGCGCCCTACAGACATGATGAAGGCAAGTCCCTCCCACACAGTCAAGGCCCTTGCCCTGCACAACGCCGTGCTTCGCAAGGCCGCCCACATCCACGCGGGCCACGTATTCGAACAGGAGGGCGACAGCTGGGCAGTGGCGTTCCAGGACGCCTTTGATGCAGCAGCCTTCTGCCTGCAGGTCCAGCAGGCGCTGCGGAAGGTGGGCGGAAGGCTGCGTGTATGGTGCATGCGTGGGCACAAGTGAATGGGTGGGTGGGTGGTCGGGTGGGTGGGGCCGTGGGAGTTTGTGAGAGAGATGGGGAGTTCGCGAGGAGAGCGGGCATGTGCAAGTGCACGGGCGAATGCGTCTGCACCGCGTGTCGCTCATGCACCGGCATGCTGGCAATGCAAAACATGCTGGGCCATAAGGCGATCACGTCATGCAAGTCCAGCAGCGATCTGATTTTGCACACATGCGTAGCAAACACGCGAGCGCGCGCGCGCGCACACACACACACACACACACACACACACACACACACACACACCAGCGCTGCTGATGTCGATGTCCATCGCAGGTCAACTGGCCGCTAGGCCTGGCATCCAGGAACAGCACTACAAAAGACACCAGCACTTGGGTTTTTGGCAGCATGACCGGCCTAGAAATTGGGGACCAAAGCATGCAGCTGGGCACAGCCACCAGCCTGACCGCCAGCGGGCTGCGGCAGGCGAGCTCGGCCGACCTCTCCGCGGGCGGCAGCGCAGGAGACAGCGGGATGGGGCACTGGGTCCAGCCGCGCTCGGAGGGGCAGGACGGCGGCGGCGGTGGCGTGACCGGGGCCCTCGACCAGCGGCCGAGCGGGGTGGCGAGCCCAGCGGACAGCTGGTGGGGCAGCAGGATGGGCAGCCTGTCGGGGGACTTGGGCGGCAAGAGGGGCGGCAGCGAACACGGGTACGCGTATGGGCGCGCGTCCAATGACGAAGGCGCCCTTGCGAGCCCGCGGCTGCGCTCCGGCGTCGGCGGCCCGGGCCGGCCGCCGCGGCGCACGCACAGCACGTTCCTCTCGCTGCTGCTGCGGCCAAGCGGTGGCGGGGGCCTCACGCCAGGGCAGCTGTTTTACGGATTGCGCGTGCGGATGGGGGTCGCCAGTGGGAATCTGCAGGAAGGCGAGGAGGTCGCCAACAGCGCTGTGTTTGCGCTCGCCAAAGGTGGGTGGTGGGTGTTCAGTGGGTCGCGCAGTTGCGCCCGCTGCCCGCGCTCGTCTTGCACACCGCTGCCTTGCCCGCTGCTGCATGCAGTAACGGTCTGCACCCTACCGCGCCTCGACTTATGTGCCCTGCCCTGCAGCTTGGTGCCTTTGGCATCCTGAATCCCATCACGTCAAACAGCAGCATGACTGACACACAACACGTTCGATCTCAACACTCAGAACCCACCTGCACTCACCCCTTGGTCCCCCCCCGGCACAGCCGTCTCTGACGTCGCCCATGGCGGCCAGGTGCTACTGGACCTGGCCACCTTTGACGCAGTGAAAGACAGGAGGGAGGAGCTGGGTGCGGTCGACCACCACGGCTACAACGACAGCATCCTGCACTCGCGGCGGCGCGGCCGCCTGCCGCCCTGCAATCCGTGCTGGTGAGGCCCGTCGCGCGCGGCGGGGCCGGTTCGCGCGTCAGTGGGGAGGTGGCAGCGTGCGGTGCGCATGCAGGCAAGGCGGCGGCGGGCAGTTGCGCGAGGACGCTGGCTGCTCGTAGCTAGAGGTGGGCGCGCTGCTCGTTCCTCACCCCCCCCCCTTCCTGTTCCCACCTGCTTCCCTGTGTACGAGCTGCCTCCCCATGTCTTAGCTGCTCACCGGCTTCTCACCTGCAGGCGCTCGAGTGAGCACCAGAGCGCCGCACCCGTCGGCTCCAGCAGCGCTGTCATCCTGGACATGGGGGAGTTCGAGGCGCCCGGCCTCAACACGGCTGCCACCCAACCCAGCCACCGCCCCACCTCGACGGGGGCCGCAACAGGCGACCCGCCGCCCTTTGTTCCGATCGTCCTACTCCCGTCGGCGCCGCCGGTGCCGGCGCCTCTGCCAGACAACCAAGCGTCGGCAGCAGCGGCAGACGTTGCTGCCGACGGCGGCAACGAAATCATTAGTGGGCACAGCGCGCCGCCGCGGCCGGCTGCAGCTGACCCCCCGCCTCGGCGCGTCCGCCTGTACAGCGTGCTCGCCCCCTGCCTCGCCGGCCGCGCGCGGCTGTGGGGCGCGCAGCTCGCCCTGCGCGACGCCTGGCGCCAGACAGACCGCGGGTTCTTTGACGCGCCCGGCGCGGCGCGCGCGGCGTGCGTCTCGCCCTGGGACGGCCCCAGGCCGCTGAGCGTCATGCCGCTGGTCACCTTCGGCTTTGCCGAGGTTGAGGGCGGGCGCGATCTGGTCAGGTCGCTCGGCGCCGCGGACGCGCGCGCGGTGGCGCGGCTGTTGAAGATGGTGCTGGTCGCTGCCCTTGACGCGGTGCCCGGCGGTTACCTCTGCAGGGAGCAGGTGCGCCTCACGTCCCCTCCTGCTCAACCTGCATGCATGCGCCACCCTCGCGCCGACGACGTGCCCTCTTTGCGCGCCGGAATCGGAAACTCAGCGCGCCTCACGTCTCAGGCCAACACCCAAGGCACCGCCGGCCTGCTGCAACCCTTTGAACCCTGGGCGCACGCGCCGCGCCCCCCCTGGACGCCCAACCAACCCCTGACATCCCACCAACCCTCCGTGCCTGGTCTGATCCTTGCCCCCGCCCGGCCCGCACCCAACGCAGGAGGGCTCTCTCAGGTACATGCTGGTGTTCTCCAGCCCCAGCCGCGCGCTCAGGACCTGCCTGGCAATCCAAGAGGCCCTCCTTTATGCCCCCTGGCCGGCCGCGGTCCTCGCGGCGCCGGCCCTGGGCGAGCTGCGAGGGCCGCCCGCCCTTGCGACCGCGCCTGCGCTGGCGCCGCCGGCCGGCGCCAGCGGTCTCGGCGGCGGCGGAGGAGGATTAGCAGGAGGAGGAGGGCTAGGGGCGGGAGCTGAGCCGGTGGGGCCGCTGCTGTTCCGAGGGCCGCGTGTCAAGATTGGCCTGTGCCAGGGGCTGCCGCGCACCATCACGCCAGATCACCTGGGGCGCGCTGACTATTTCGGAGAGTCGGTGGTGAGTCATCACATGGGAATCTCAAGGCTGTCCCCGCGGGCCTGGTCGTTTGATATCAGATGTTCCCTGCCGCCAACCCAAGCGGCTGGGAGAAACGAGAGCGCGCACCGCAACTCGCCTGCAAGTCATCCCCATGCATCTCCATGTTTCACCCCGCACTCACACTCTCAGAACTCGGCGGCCCGGTTTGTGGATGCCGCCGCCCATGGAGGCCAGGTGGTGTGCGCTGAGGGGCTGGCCGTCGCCCTGTTCAGGTGGGCGGCTCAAAAGGGGCGCCTGGGTTAGCAGCAGCGCTACGAAGAAGCGAATTATAGACGACGCGGCCAGCAGCCGGCGCGCCGCAGGATTAGTGTTGCGGGCGCTTGCAGCAAACTGGTCGTTGCACATTGAAGGATTAAATCAACAGGCACCTTGGGGGCTGCGCGCATCCTCATCCCAGGCGCGCACACGCGCGCTCATACAAGCATGCAAGGATGTGCCTCCTTGTGCGTGCGTACGCGCAGGCGAACGCATGCGCGCACACGCGCACACACATACACACACACACACACACACACACACACACACACACACACACACACACACACACACACACATACACACATACACACACACAAACACACACACAAACACACACACAACACACAGACACACACAAACACACAAAAACACACACACACACGAACACACACATGCAGGGACCTACAGTCACAGTCCGCACAAGACTCAGAGTGCAGCACAGAGGCCCCCGCCTCGGCCACCCAGCCAACACATTACAGCGGCCCGGTCTCGGCGACCGGCGACCGCCGCACACACAGCACCAGCCGCCGCGCGCCAGAGCCTCGCAGCGCCGATGCAGCTGCGGCGGCGGCGGTGGCGCATGACGACAGCATCGGGGGCAGCGGAGCTAGCCTGGTGGCATTGAGCGGCGGCATGTCATCCCCGCGCGCAGAGCCCACCTCGTCGCAGCTGCTCGTCCACCTGACCCGGCCCGACGCGCGCCAAGTCAGCTTCAGCGAGCCGGCCGGCCGCGTTGCCACCAGCTCCGAGGCCGCGCCGCCGCCGCCGGCCGCGCCCGCCGCGGCCCAGATCGCTGCCGGCCAGCCGCGGGTGCGCGTGGACATACGCGCGGAGCACCTGGGCGGGTTCATTTTCAAAGGCACAGAGCTAACGGAGATGGTGGCCGTCTATGCCGCCACCCTCTGTGGCCGCGCAGCAGCGCTGCCGCGCGCGGCGCCCAAGGGCGGCAAGGGCCGGCGCGTCACAGCGCGTGTGGGGACCGCGGCGGCAGCGAGCGCGCTGCTGCCAGACCTGCTGTCGGCGCCGCTGCGAGAAAGATTTCTGGAGGTGGCCGCAGAGCAGGCGGCCGCGCCTGGCATTGTGCAGGAGGGTGCGGGCGGCGAGGGTGCGGGCACGGGCGCTCTTGCGGGGGAGGGTCCTCCGGCGGCAGAGAGTGGAGTGGTGAACTATGGGCAATGGCTGGCGGCCGAGCTGACGCAGCGGCAACAGGCGCTGGTGCAGCAGCAGCAGCAGCAACAGCCACAGCAGCAGCCACAGCAGCAGCAACCGCAACAGCAGCACCAGCACGAGCAGCAGCAGCAGCAGCAGAGGCGGTACCATCAACAACAGCACGCCAGGAGGGCTGCCAGCAGGTAACACGGCACCAGGCACCTGGCTACTTTCTACCATTCCGCCGGGCCGGGCCACCCCATACACCCCTCCTGTCCCCCTGCAGTCAGCACGATATTGCTTGCGACAGGCTTGGCCTTGGCATCCAACCACCCTGCAACGCCTCAATGAGGCATGGTTTTTTAGTGTGTTGCACCACATGAACCGAGCTGTGCTGCCACCAACGGTGCTGTCTCTTGCTTTGCTGGGTGGACAATCGCGCTGCATTGCCTGGCGCCAGCACGTAATCGCAGCGCACACCGGCCCACGTTTGGCCTCACTGTTGCCGTCTGTGTCTCGACAGAGTGTTGCGTGGTTGCAGCTGCGCACCTCAAGCAACCCAGGCCCCTCTTCCATAATCACAACGCCCTGAGCCATACCCTGAATTGACACTTTTCTTCACCTGCGGCCACGTTCACGAGGGCTACTGGTGGCGCGTTCCACAGCTTTTGAAGTGTGGTCAAATGCCCGGTATTCGCGTGTGTGCACGTTACAGTGCCTAGCGCGACGGCAACCCGATTCTGGTGCATTTGGCAACCACAGGGTTGGGTCCAAGCACGCATGGCATTGACAGGGTCTTATTCCTTTCGTTGAGTGTGTTTCTGCCGCATGCAACGCCATGGCGACACTGTGGGGGCATCCGCATCCTGCAACGACACTATCTGCAGGCGCACAGACCAGCAGCACTGTCATTTTTTTGCCACTGCACGGCCCCGGCCCTCGCTGATGCGGCTACGAAGTTGCAAAAGCACTGTCATGCTTGGGAGCACAAGCGCTACAGGGAAGGCCCTGGCAAGCAGTACGCACATAATTGACGCCTTGATCACGGAATAATTGGCGGGTCCCCAGCAGTTTTCCCTCATCTCAACGCCCAACAGTACACCTGTGGGTTGCCTTTGCACTGCATGCGCGTGAAAAGACTGAAGACATTCACACAATTGGGCTGCTGAGGCGAGCAGTGTGTTGGGCACACTGCCAGCGCCAGCAATCGCCAGCTGGGTTGCGTGGGTGCGGTTCTATCCGGAGTGGGGGCGGATGTACTGCTGTTGTACTGTTGCACTCGTGCTATCAGTGCCCCCGCCGCAACTCCGACTTTGTATTGCGAAGGATGCATAGTTTTCGTACTACGCAACTCCATTGGGAGGGTGTGAGGCGGGAGCACTTTGAGGGTAGCCTGCCCATGGCAGCTTGGTCAACATTGTTGCAGTCTTGTCAGTGAAGACGCGAAGTGGCACGTACCAGCATCATGGTAACCAACTTGTGAGCATTTGCACCAACAGCTGTCAGGTGCTGCATACCCTGCACACACCATGCACATATCAGCTGTTTGGGGGTGTATGTCTGCAGGGTGACTCGGCTCAGTGATCCATACTCCTTTGCACCCAGTGCCAGCAGTCAGCCGTCCTCTAGCAGCAGCCACCCATTGGCGCGGCCTAGCCGCACAAGCAATGCAGGGTCGACCAGTACCCTCTGACATGAGGGAAACAAGAAAGCAAAAATCCCAGAGCAGTTTCCGCAGGCTGGTACCCAGAAGAGATCTGTAATGGGCTCTCCTAGTCCACTGATTTAAATTGGCCTCAGAGGTCTGAACTTGGGTTTTCTCTTTGCTCTGCTGGCCAAGCCGCGCTCACCAGTTGCTTGCAAACCGCAACTGCCCTGCATACGGACGTCGGCTCAGCCACAACAGCACCGCGCGGACCGTTGCATGGTCTCCGCTGGATCTGTGATATTGTGTGCTGGACTTATGTGTCTGTCGCACTCTACCAGTCGGTCGTAGTACGAAGGACCTGCTAAGGTGCGACGGCACCTCACACCCTCGCATCATCGCAAGTGACCCATGCGGTCCTTTCTTTCACGGTGTGAGCGATCCAATTGATGTACAGAGATTCGTTCGCGCGAATCTACCGTGCTCATGCAGACTGGCACGGCAAACCAGCCTGACCGCCGTGATCCAGTACAATGCCTGACGCACTCGCCCTCCGCGTGGCGCACGCCACGGCGAAGACGGCGCTGACCCTGTCGCTGGGTGTCCTCGCCGCCTTCCTGCTCGTGATAGGCCCCCTCAGCTGGCCGAAGAAAGGCCCTGCTACGCGCTGGCCTCATGCCGCCCCCTGCGAGCCTGGTTCTGTGGTCGACACATGCACAGCCCGTCACTTGCTGTGGCTGTGGCTGCCACCCGCCGTTGCCGGCATTGCCGCCGTTGCACTCACCTATTTCCAGGCGCGCAATGCGGACGCGCACCAGGCCGCAACCGCGGCCCGCGCCGCGCCCCGACCTAGCCCGGCGCGCGCAGCCCTTGCGCGGCTGTGGCAGGGGCAGGTGCCGCCAGCGCGCTTCTGGGCCGTGCTGAGCGGCGGCCTCACTGGTGCAGAGCTGGCTGGCGTGGCGTTGTGGGTTGTGATGAACGTGGTCTGGCTGGCGTCTATCCTTGGAACGTGAGTGCAAATACTGTGCACTTTCCACGCGGCAGGGACGGCGTCTGCAGCTTCCCCAAGACGAACGGGCCCTGCGTTGCTCCCCAGCTGGGCGGTTTGTATGCTCCAGGTCGCCCTTGCGACAATGCCGCGCAAAAAGCAACCCCTGTGCCATCAACGCATTGAACCGCCAACCCCAAGGTATCTGGATTATGAGTCGAGCGGAGACTATGCGAGGGACAGTGCCCACCTGCGCGACAACCCTCGTTGGGCCATACTCTGGGGCCTGACGGCCAAGGCGTTTGCGGTGTGCGGGGAGACTGCATGGCTGGGTGCCAGGAAGCGGTGTTTGAGCTGCTCTGTTGGCGGGGGCAGATTCCACAGGCGTGCGCAAGGGGCACCCCGCTGCACCTGGTTGCGGGCCTGCGGCGGAGCTGCGACCCGCCACCTTCCAACCCCATGTAGTGCTGCCAAGACGCAGGCCACCATCTGCCGCCATGTGTTTGTTCAGCACCCTTCCTGCCACATGCACGACTTCCTGATGCACACACACTGGCCCTCATGCTCAGTACCCGTCGAACCCCACTTTGCCTCTCCAAATGCACAGTCCCTGATGTTCCCCAACCTGGTGCTTCTATTTTTCCCGGTCAGCCGAGGGAGCGTGCTGCTGCAGGTCCTCGGACTCCCCTACCCGGCTGCCATACGCTACCACAGGTGGCTCGGCGGCTGGGTCCTGGTGCGCACCCAATCTCGTGCGAGTGCTCAAAACTTGCTGATTTCTCAGCTGCTGCTGCTGCTGTTGCTGCTGCAGCTGCTGTTGCTGCTGCCGCTGCTGCTGCTGCTGCTGCCACTGCTTTCTTGGACCATAACTGCACTGGGTGCGGAAACGCTGTGTCCCATGCTGTTTGTGTGCACCAGTGTTACAAGTTGCCTGTGCTGCCAAGGGCCCACAGGTCTGCAATGCGCTAGTCTTGCAACTCATTTTGTGCGCACACTGCTTTCTCTGCGCGCCAGGTCCTCTCGGCTTTCCATGGCGCCACCTACTGGATATCTTGGGCCGTGCGCTATGGCACCGCCGGCTGGGTTGCGCGCGCCTGGTCGTTTGGGGGTGCCAAGACAAACTATGCAATGGGCAGCATCGCGTTCCTCGCAAGCCTGGTGCTGATAATTACGTCACGAGAGATTGTGCGGCGGCGGTTCTACAAGGTGTTCTACTGGGCGCACAGGCTGGGCTTCTGGGTGTTCATCATTGGGGGTGTGATCCACTACAACTCCCTCTTCTGGTGCGTTCTGATTGCTCAGTGCCGTGCCGCCTTGGTCCTGGCTGCAACATCAACTCGCATGTACACGCGTCCACAAGCTGGGGCTTGCAGCACTCTCTTGTGTGCATATGCACAGAGTGCCTGTGTGTCTCGCCACGCCCGCAATCATTTCAGTTCGCTCTAGCGCACTAAACCATCCCTGACATCTGCGCTTGTGGCACCTGTGCACAACCACCAGGTGGGCGCTGCCAGGCCTGATGTTCTACGCCATCGACTTGGCCTACCGCCTCGTCCAGGCAGCCAGTGCACCAGCGCAGGTCGTGGACGCCTGGGCGCCTGGCGATGGAAAGGTGGGCACCCGACTGCAGTATCATGTCGCCCGTTGCCAGCATGGGGCAGCTTGGGGCCAATTCCTTCATGGCGCCGGGATCACTCCAGCCAGCCGCACAGCGCATTGAAGCCTTGTCTTTGGCCACCTCAATTGACCCAGGGCCGCTGCCTTACTTGCTACCTCCCCTGCCCTTGCCGCTGTCCGCAGTTTGGCGTCACCTCCCTGGTCCTGGCGCGCCCTGTCCACGCGATAGCCGCGAGCACGGGCATCCTGTGGCTCAACGTACCCGCGATTAGCCTCTTTGAGTACCACCCCTTCACCTTCTCTGAAGGGCCTGCATCAGCCGCCCCCTCCCCTGACGACCGCGCCGTCGGCGCTAAGGACGACACAGCCAAGGGCGCCAGTGACACGGACGCGCCCGTCGACCAGCCGCCTGCAGCCCCGACGATGCTTGTGCACGTCAAGGCGTACGACGCGTGGACCAGGAAGCTGCTTGAGCTGGTCAGGGAGAAGGGGCCGGCCATCAGCGTCCGCGTCCAGGGGCCCTACCTGGGTGGGACGCCGGTCCTGCGGCCAGAGGCTGGGGACAACGCCGTGGTGGTTGTGGCAGGTGGGCACGATTTGCGGGCTCTCCCAATCCTCGGCTTGCTTGCATCCATCCCAAAGCATGACTTGGCACGGGCTTGAGGAGGCCCTGGACTGGAGTTGTGCACTGTCGCATGTTTTCTAGAAGGCCATCTCCCCAGCTTCAAGCACTCGGTCCTACAGGCAAGCGCGCGCACATGCGCCCACAAACATACACACACGCACCACACACACACACACACCACACACACACACACACAATGACCTTGGCTGCCCCCGCTGACCCCAAATTCCGTAACGTCATGTGCATTACAGGTGGCATCGGCATCACTGAGTGCCTCGCAACGATTCAGGAGATCCCGACTCCGCCCCTTGGCCTCCCGTTCTTGCTCATTTGGACGGTCCGTCACCCGGAAGAGCTCCTGCTGCTTGCGCCACGCGTCGTCGCCGCCGTGCAGGCCAAGGGTTTCCTCCTGACAGCCCGCTTTTACTACACAGGGGCCCTTGACGAGCTGCAGGCAGCATCCAAGGGAGGCAGCGAGGAGTTTGCCCAGGGGTCCTACGCCAGCGAGCGGCTGGGCAAGGTGGCGGCTGACCCTTCCAACGAGAGGTCGTCCTCGTCCTGCCCTGTTCTGTCGCTTGGCAGCGGCCTGGGGGCGCAGGCCTCCCTGAATCTTGCAGTGCACGTGCTTGCCTTTGCAGGTGAGGACGGGCTCGACGCGAACGCCAGCATGCATGGTGAAAAGCACACATTCGCGCGGCATGTTGCGCAGACGATGCGCCGTGCATAGGTGTGTCGTGCAGCAATCGCCACTCGCTGTTTGTAGACAGGCACAAGGGACCATGCTCGTGCCACTCCTCCCTTGACGAGGTCACCACCAATGGTTCTCACCACACCCAAGGTTTGACCATCATTTCTACGACTCAACTCCTCAAACAGGAACCCTTGCTGCCATCATCATCATCCGCGCCGCGTCGGTGACGGGGGCGGCCAAGCCCTGGCACGTGGCCGTCACTGGCACCGCGTACATCGTCGCCATCGCGGCCGCTGCCACACTCCCCGTCATCCTGCTGCTGACGTTCATCAAGCCACGGCGCGCGACCCCTGCCCCTGTCCTGTCGGCGCCGCCATGCGAAAACTCCCTGGCACGGGTGGTGGCTGGCAAGCCTGGGGGCTCCAGCCCGGGCCTGATTGTGCCTGCACTGACGAACCTCATTGCTGCACCAGACGGCGGCGTGGACAGCGAGCAGCAGAAGGGCGAAGCGTTCGCGCTGCACCTGGGTCGCCCCCAGCTGCGCGCAACCATAAGCTCGTGGGTGGCCGGCCTCGGGCAGCTGCCGGGAGCAGCTGGCGGCGACGGCAAGGACGGCTCCGGGGCTGGCCTGCAGGTGGTGTTCTGCGGCATGGGGCCCGAGAGGCTGGTGGAGGAGGCGCAGGTCCTGTGCGACCATCTGGCCAGGGAGGGCCATGGCGGCGGCGGCAGGCCGGCCTCATGGCGCTTTGTTCCCCGCACTCACAGCCTGTGAGGAGGAGTTCGACTCATCTGGGAAGGGCGTGGAGGTGTTCGAGACTGTGCGCCTTGAGACTGTGCGCTCACGGCGCTCTTGAGTGGTTTGTGTGGTGTCCCCGAACCTAATAACGCCCAACTTGGAGGTACTTCAACTTGCTCAGGAACCCTTCTGCTCATGCGCCAGCCGCCCCTTTGCATGGCAGGGGGTGTGCGGCGTTGCCTGTGTGAGGAGGGGCTGTCTGTCTGTGTGGTCACCCGGTGCCGCCTGCATTGCATGTGCTTGCGAGTGGCTGATTGCCACGGCGTGTGCCCCCACGTACTTGTCATACGGCGTATCCACTCATCCACTGGCCCAATATCACGCCCTTGCACAGCATCGTCCATTCCCCTACTAACACAAGTGTGGGTCACGTTTGCGTCTCGATTGGGTTGCAAACGTGAGCAACTTTGATGTATTGTTGAAACAGAGTGGAGATCCTATTATTGTCCAGCTACATTTGGCCTCATCCAACCCCGGGCCCCATCAACAGCCCATCTGCCCACCTTTGGGCTTGATCGTGAGGTGTTGTGACCTGCCAATCCATTTGCGATCTGGCTTCCAGGCGACAGTTGATCAGGTCACCTGCACACGTCACCTGCCGCTGTGAGTGCATGCATTGACTGCTGCTCCAGGTCATGTTTCTTACACAAGAGGTGTTCACAAGCTGGCGCTTGCCACACAGGTCTTTGCATGGGGCCAGCTGCGCCCACGCGGTGCAGGCGCCCTATGTGAAACGCCCCACTGCGGTGGGGCGAAGCAGGACTTGGCACGCTCCATGCCGCGAAGGCTGTACAACTACCCACCATTTGTGGTGTGACCACGCGCGATTGTAACTGTTCTTGCAGGATTTGCTTTTGCTGGGGAGACTGTGCCTATGCACGCGTGCTGGCGGGTGGCTGAGGTGCCCGGCTTGTCGCCACCAATTTCAAGGCGCCCATGTGATGCAACCTGCAAGCAGTGGCTTGCAATCCTGCAGCTGAAGCTGCGTGTAGGCCATTTGTGACGCAAATGATCATCCAGGGAGCAAGTCACGACTATGACAATGCTTTCTTCACTCGTGATGCATTGCAAGTCAGCAGGGGAGTCAGGCGTGTGCAGGTGGCTGGCCGGTGTGGGACAGCCGCGTGGTTGCGTGGGTACCGTAACTTTATGACGCCCATGCTTGGTATGCACACACAGCGCGCCTGATAGCTGAGGACCCACTTATATGTCGATCTTCTTGTACACGCGCTGTGAAACTCAGCGAAAGGTGTGATACTCTGCTGCCAGATCTCGCCAACTGCGCTGATGGTCAACCACCATGTTTACGATGGATGACATATAGCTTGCATCAACACCGCCACAAGGGCTCGCTTTTTGCTGGCACCACTTCGGACCTCGCGGGTTGCCTTCCCAGGCCAGCTTCCAGCTCCCTGTGCAGCTTACATGCGTGGGCAGTGACTCTGAGGCTAGTGAATAGCTACGTCGCTCAGCTCCAGCAGACAGCGCGCGTGCCAAACCCCTTGCGGCGCTCAGCTGCAGCTCCAGGGTTGGTCGCGCCGATGGCGGACGCGGTATCTTACGTTGTGAAGCGCGTCCAGTTTTTCGGCCGCGGCGTGTCAGTGGTTTTGCAGAACGTCAACGGACCCTGTCCGCTGCTGGCGATAGGTGAGGGCGCCCCTCCCTGGCTCAGGCTGCCCGGCACTCTGCCCGCCGCCCCTCACCTCATCCACGCCCTGCTGTGCATCCCCTCATCCGCCTGCGCCACATCAGCACTACAACACGCCCTTCTCATGTGCTGGTGCCCAGACATATGCACACATGTCTCTGCTGCCGCACCACCTGCCGACGCCCCCACCCTGGCCCTCGCGCCCCCACCCCGCTCCCACTCGCCCAACCCCGGCCCTCCAAAAACCCCGATCTCGACGCCAGCCAATGTCCTGAGCCTGCGCAACCAGCTCAAGCTGCCGCGCGAGTCCCGCAGCATCAGCCAGGAGCAGCTGGTCACCTTGGTGGCCGACCTGCTGCTGGACGCATCCAAGCAGTACGAGCGCGCGTCGGCCACCCCCGAGGCGGCCGCCCACGCGGCGCACGCCGTGTCGGAGTGCTTCGACGTGCTGTCTAAGCTCGCCACGGGGATCGACGTGAACGTCAAGTTCCACTCGGTGCACGCATTTGAGCCGACGCGGGAGGTGGCTGTCTTTGACCTCCTGGGGATCAGCCTGGTGCACGGCTGGCTGGTCGACCCGGAGGATGTGGGGACAGCGGCGGTGTTTGGCAACAGGTCGTACAACGAGCTCGTGGAGCTGCTGCTGTCGGCGCTCGGCGGCAGCGAGGTCGAGCGGCTGTCGAGCGCGACCAGCCTGGTCATGCTGCCGCGGGGCGGCGGCGGCAGCGGGATCAGCGCGGCGGCGGCGGCGGCGGCGGCGGCGGCGGCGGCGGCGGTTGACGCGGCGGCGGCGGGAGCTCCTGCGATAGAGGCAGGCGGCGCGGCAGAGGTGGGCCAGCCTGAACAGCAGCAGCAGCAGCAGCAGCAGCCGCAGCACCGGCAAGACATCTCAGCGCTCGCCCCATCTGATGACGTCGCCGTGGCCTCCGGCGGGCTCCATCTGCGGAAGCTGTCCTTGCATGAACAGACAGCCGCGCCCGCAGCAGCGGCTGCCGCTGCGGCTGGCACGGCTGCTGCTGCTGCCGCTGCTGACTCGGCTGTGCTGGAGCCCGAAGAGGCGGCTGTGGAGTCCGTTCTAGGCGATCTGGTGTCCAGCGTCTGCCAAGACCTGCAGCCGGGCCGCATCGCGCTGGGGGAGAGCCCGACGCGCTCCAACAGCGTCGACCGCGCGGCGGTCTACGGCGCGGCGCCGCCGCCGCAGTCGCGGCTGGGGCGCGCTGCGTCGTCTCAGGAGCAGCCTGCGGCGGCGGCGGATCCTGAGCTCGCGGGCCCGTCCCCGCCACAGCAGCAGCCAGCAGCAGCCCCCACCCCATCCCCTCAGCACCGGGAGCAGCAGCCGCAGCAGCAGCAAGCGGCGTGCCCGCCGTCCCCCACGACCGCCGCCCGCGACGCCGCGGTGGTGTCCGGCTTCCTCGAGCGCCACTGCACGCAACTTACGCCGGCGGGCCTGGCGGCGCTGGCGGACGACCTCAGGGAGCACCAGCTGGCGGTGTTCTTCCGCAACAACCACTTCAGCACGGCTTTTAAGTATGAGGGGCGCGTGTACCTGCTTGTGACCGACCAGGGATACGCGTCCGAGCCCGACATAGTATGGGAGCGGCTGGACGCCGTCGACGGCAACACGGCGCTGTGCACCTCGGCATTCGAGGAGTTTGTGCCGCACGCGGAGCCGCCGTACGATCCGGCCGCGTTTGAGGCCGCGGCGGCGGCGGCAGCAGCGGGCGCGGCAGCGGCGGGCTCGGCGGCGGCGGCCGGGGG